AGTTTGAAAAAGACAGATGCACCCCTATGTTTATTGCAGCACTGTTTACAATAGCTAAGAAATGGAAGCAACCTAAGTGTCCATCAGTAGATGAATGGATAAAGATGTGGTACATATACACAATGGAATATTATTCAGCCATAAAAAGAAAACAAATCCTACCATTTGCAACAATATGGATGGAGCTAGAGGGTATTATGCTCAGTGAAATAAGCGAAGTGGAGAAAGACAAATACCAAATGATTTCACTCATCTGTGGAGTATAAGAACAAAGAATAACTGAAGGAACAAAACAGCAGCAGAATCACAGAACCCAAGAATGGACTAACAGTTACCAAAGGGAAAGGGACTAGGGAGAATGGAAGGGAAGGGAGGGATAAGGGTTGGGAAGAAGAAAGGAGGTTTTACGATTCACATGTATAATGTGGGGGGAGAGTAATAGGGAGGGCTGTACAACACAGAGAAGACAAGTAGTGACTCTACAACATCTTACTACACTGATGGACAGTGACTGCAATGGGGTTTGTGGGGGGGGGGACTTGGTGAAGGGGAGACCCTAGCAAACATAATGTTCTTCATGTAATTGTATATTAATGATAACAACATTAAAAAAAAGAAAAATATAATTTTTTAAAAAAGAGAAAAGCATGGAACAACTGAAAAAAAAAATATCACCAACAGTAAATGCTGGCAGGGATGCAGAGAAACTGGATAACTGGGTAAGTAGGAAGAAAAAAAAAAAAACAGAATAGAACCGAGCAATTGCATTCTTATACATTCTCCCAGAGAAATAAAGACATGCACACACAGACACACAAACTGTACCCAAATGTTTAAAACAGCTTTGATGACTATTCATCATTGTCAAAGAAGGAAGCAACCCACAGATCCTTAAATAGGTGAATGGCTAAACTGTGGTACATCTATACCACACTACTCAGCAATAAAAAGGAATAAACTACTGATACACCAACAACTTGGATGAATCCCAAGGGAATGATGATGAATGAAAAAAAATCTCAAAAGGTTACATATTGTATAATTCATTTTTATAACACTTTTGAAAAGGCAAAGTTTTAGAAATGGACAACCAATTAGTGGTTTCCAGGGGTAAGGATGGAGGAGGGACATAGTGAGGGAAGTAGGTGTGCATATAAAAGGCAAGGGATCTTTGCAGTGATTATACATATAAAGGTGGACTAGGGAAATCTGAAGAAGATTGGTGGAGTGTGTCCATGTCCATATCCTGGTTGTGATACTGTACTGTAGCTTTATAAGATGTTACCCTTAGGGGAAACTGGGTAAAAAGTATCACAAATCCTGCTGTGTTATTTCTCATAATTACATGTGAATACAACTTCCCAGTTCATTCTATGGCACCAGCAAAACTCTAAGACCCAAAACACAACACTGAAAAGAAAAAAAGAAAATTTAGAGAACAAATCCCTTATAAACGTAGATTCAAATTCCGCAGCTGTCAGCAAACTGAATGCAGTAGTATATAAAATGTATAATAGGTCATGAGAAGTGGGGTTTATTCAGGAATACAAAATTGCTTTAACATTCAAAAAACAAAGTATTTCACCATATTATAGGATAAAGGAGAAAAAACACAGTAATTTCAATAGCTGCACAAGAAAGTGGCAAAAATTCAATAGCCATTCATGATAGAAACTCGCAGAAAACTAGGAGTAGAAGGAAACGTCCTCAATTTGACAAATACTGTACCACATATTTGAAAGTGCTAAAAGAGATTGTCTCATCACAAGATAAAAAAGATTGTAACTGTGTGGTGACACATGTTAACAAGACATTGCAGTGGCCATTTTGCAATATATATAAATATTGAATCATTGTGTTGTACACTTGAAACTGAAATAATGTTATATGTCAATTGTATCTCAATTTAAATATATATATATATATTGTGGGCAAAAGTGTAACATTTCCAGAATATCTCTCCTGGCTTTAGTTTATTTGCATATCCTCAGGGGTGGAGAGAAGTTCATCTCCATGCCAGTGGGTAATTACCTGGGCAAGGAGGGCTTACCTGTACCTGAGAGGTGAAGGGGAGAGCTGGTTTGGCTTCTGCTGGAGCAGGAAAGAGAGAAGGCCCTGGACTGCAGTTTGTAAGTAATAAATGAATTTTAAAGTTTATTTCTCCCTTTGACTGATTTCGGACTTTAGAGGTATTTTGCCCCAGGATTTCCTTTCCCCAGACTATGTATGTATGTATGTATGTATATATATATATACACACACATATGTATTTTATAAAATGACTTGTAAGCTTGAAAATTAGAATTAACTTTTAAACTGAAATTTTATTCATTACATTACTATTTTTTGTAATAGTTGACTATTAAATTATCTGAAATTTCTCCAAAAAAATCTTTTAAAGTCTGGGTCTTACAGCTATCATATATAAAATAAATTATCACTACATAAGCAAACAATGTGTGTTTCTTTATAATTATGCTTAAAGCAGTGAACAAATGCTGATGACTTTATAATTTTATCTGTTTATGTTCACTTCTTTTGAAGTGCTTTTTTTCAGGGCATGACTTTATTTTCTCTTCTAATTTGTATGCAACATTATACCATATTCCCAGAATGGTTCTGGCAGTCCATGGTTTACAATGCCACTCTTTCATTGTTTTAGGAAGTTTTATAGAAAGTTTTCCTTTACAATCTTTGAAAATGATGACAACTGACACAGGTTTTCAATTTCACAGATTGATAAACAGAAAGAGGACATGGAAATGAGAAGAAAGTTTGAAAGCCTGAGTGTCAAGGTTTCCAACTTTCTTTTCTTTTTTTTCTTTTATTCTGTGCTTGTTACTTTGGCATCTGAGCTAAAGAATGTATACATGCCATGACAAGGCTTTTTATTTGCCAACATCTGAGTTTGAAGGAGAGAAAATGCCTAAAAATGAGACAAGAAGTATGTGTGGGAGATCAGGAGGCTGGTGACTCAGAGCAGGGAGGAGGAAGGGAGGGTGTGAGGCAGGATGGTGTGAGGCAGGATGGTGTGAGCCGGGATGGTGTGAGCCAGGAAGCTGTGAGCCAGAAGGGTATGAGCCAGAAGGGTGTGAACCAGAATGGTGTGAGCCTGGATGGTGTAAGCCAGGAGGGTGTGAGCCGAGAGAGTATGAGTGGAGAGGGTGTGAACCAGAAGGGTGTGAGCCAGGACAGTGTGAGCCGGGAGGCTGTGATCCGGGAGGGTGTAAGTCAGGAGGGTTTGAACTGGGAGAGTGTGAGTGGGAGGGCCTGAGCTGGGAGTGTGTTAGCCGGTAGGTCATGAACTGGGAGAACCAAGCCTTGCAGGAGTCTCCTGGTTGCAGGTCCTTAGGGTCAATTGCCTATGGCTTCAGATTCCCACCTCTTTGCTCCTCCCTTCTGTTTCCCACCTTCTTACAAATGGACACAAACCTCAGGCCACCACCTCAGCCCACCCCACAGTCTACCTTTCTTCTTACTTCCAGAAAACATGGATCTGTTGGAATGTTTTTCTTAGGACACAAACATCAACAGGAGGAGTGGGCAAACAGGTCCAGCCTGCAAATTAAATCAGGCCAGGAGGCACAGGGGTCTGGAAGCAAAAACAGAGCCATGCCCCATGGGACTGAAACATTCAACCATGTGGTTCCAGCTCTGGGGAGGGCAAGGGACTAAAAGAAAGGGATGCATCTGAGGAATAAAGTGAAAATTAAAAAGCTGGTTCTTGGGGGATCACAGGAAGATGGCGGTATGAGTAGTTCGGAGGAAATCTCCTCCCCAAAACATATATATTTATGAAAATACAATAAATACAACTATTCCTAAAAGAGACATCAGTGGATGCAATACAACAACCAGGATACATCTACATCTGTGAGAACTCAACATCACATGAAGGGGGTAAGATACAAGCCGTGGCCAGGTGGGACCCAAACGCTGCCCCACTCCAAAACCCAGTGGGAATAAAGGAGTCAGAATGGGGAGGGAGTGAAAGCCCAGGACTGCTAAACAACAAGCTCTAGAAATCCACACCCAGAATGCAGACACAAGGTGCATGGGGTGCTGGATATTAGAGAAATGGAAAAACAAGACCTGTGGGCAGGTCCCCGCAACCGGCACCCTGAGACAAAAGAAGAGTGAGTGCTTCCTGCAAGTCTTAAAGAGACAGGGACCCCATAGCTGGATGAAGTTGCCCCGGCACACTCAGCCACCAGCTGGGGATTCCAGGGAAACTTAGGCACCCTAAACCCGGGAAGGCAGTGCAGCTCTGAAGCCCCTCATGGCAGTAAGCAGCCTGCCAGTCATTCCTCCAACTGGTGCAGACCCCGACACACTGGCCCAGTAGTGGGAGAGTGGAGGCGCGCACTGGGGGTGGAGGTGCCAGAAGGGACGAGGAACAGATCTGTGCACCAATGGTGCCAGAGGGGACCAGGACAGGTTTGTGCAAGCCCACAGCAGCACGACCAAACAGCCCAGGTGTGGCTCATGTGCACCGGCAGCAGTGGAGCCAGAGGAGCCCGGTAGAGGCCCGCGCGCACCTGCAGCAGAGCCAGAGGGAGCAGGTGCATTCCTAGCAGCCGACCGGAATCCCAGCCCAATGCACAGCTGCCCGGGCCAAACCCAAAGGCCACTGCCGCCACACAGCTGCCCAGCAGGGGTGCTGCTAGCACAGAGGAGTGTACCTGCCATGCCTGCCACTCCCTGTAGGGCTCCGTGCTGCTCTGATGGAGACCCCTTCCACAGCAGCTTACGGGACTAACCCGGTGGCTGCTCCATGAGTGCAGGTAACCATCACAGGCAGTGGAGAAGGGCAAGGCATCCAGCAAGCAGGAAAGGACTTTCTTCTCCCAGCTGACACACCCGCAACCTGCCTACAGCCACCACTATCACCATGAAAAGGCAAAAAAATCTAGTCCAGTCCAAGATAGTTACACCTGAGAAAGGATCTGCAGAGGCAGACCTAACCAGTCTCCCTGAAAAAGAATTCAAAATAAAAATCATAAACATGCTGACAGAGCTGCAGAGAAATATGCAAGAGCAAAGGGATGAAGTTCAGAGGGAGATTACAGACATCCAGAGGGAGATTACAGAAATGAAACAAACTCTGGAAGGATTTATAAGCAGAATGGATAATATGCAAGAGGCCATTGATGGAATAGAAACCAGAGAACAAGAATGCATAGAAGCTGATGCAGAGAGAGAAAGAAGGATCTCCAGGAATGAAACAATATTAAGAGAACTGTGTGACCAATCCAAAAGGAACAATATCCACATTATAGGGGCACCAGAAGAAGAAGAGAGAGAAAAAGGGATAGAGTCTTTGAAGAAATAATTGCTGAGAACTTCCCCAAACTGGGGGAGGAAATAGTTGCTCAGACTACAGAGGCACACAGAACTCCCGAGAGATGGGACACAAAGAGGACAACACCAAGACACGTAATAACTAAAATGGCAAAGATCAAGGACAAGGACAGAGTACTGAAGGCAGCCAGAGAGAGAAAAAAGGTCACCTACACAGGACACCCCTTCAGGCTATCATCAGACTTCTCAACAGAAACCTTACAGGCCAGAAGAGAATGGCATGATATATTTAATGCAATGAAACAGAAGGGCCTTGAACCAAGGATACTGTATCCAGCACGATTATCATTTAAATATGAAGGAGGGATTAAACAATTCCCAGACAAGCAAAAGTTGAGGGAATTTGCCTCCCACAAACCACCTCTACAGG